TTTTTTGTTATTGTTTTTTTTTTTTTCTTACCTCTTTTTTTTTCAATTGTTGAAGCTGTCGTTTTTGCTGCCTTTTTTGCGTCATTCTGTCACCAGGTTTGGGATTTTTTTTTTTTTTTTTTTTTTGATGTTTAATAACTCGCTCTTCTTTTTTTTGCAGGTCTTGGATTCTTTTGTCAGTGGTTTTGTCTTTCATCATTCTGTCGCCAGGTTCAGGATTTTGTTTTTTTTGATATAGTATTTTTTTTTTTGATATAGTTTTTTATATTTTCTTACCGCTTTTTTTTTCAATTGTTGAAGCTGTCGTTGGCACCACCGTTGGAGTCGTGTTGGATCATCGTTAGAGTTGTCATTGGGGTTTGGGCTGTTGGTGTTGCTCTTTGGGCGATTGTTTTGTTTCTCTTCTTTGTTCCTTTTTTTCTTATTTCTTTTCTTTTCCTTTCTTTTGTTTTTTATTCTTTTCATTTTTTTGTCTTTTTCCTTTGTTTTTTTTCTTCCTTCTTTATCATTTTTTTTAGTTCTTTTTGTTTATTTCTTATTTTTTCTATTTCTTTCTTTTTCTTTATTTCTTTTTCTTGTTTTTTTTCTCTTTGTTTCTTTTCTTTTTCTTTTCTTTTCATTTTCTTTCTTTTGTTTTCTTCTTTTTCAGTATTTTTCTTCGATTCTTTTTCTTTTTCTTTATTTTTTTCTTTTTATCTTTTCTTTTTTTGTTTTCTTTTTTTCTTTATTCTTTCTTTTTTTCTTTCGGTTCTTTTTTTTTTTCTTCTTTCATTTTTTCTTTATTCATTATTTTTTTTCTTATTTCTTCTCTTTTGTTTTTTCTTTTTTCTTTTTGTTTCTTTTTTCCCTTGTTCTTTTTTTTCCTTCAATTTTTTTTCTTTATTTACTTTTCTACGTTTTATTCTCTTTGTTTTTTTTTGTTTTTTTTTAAATATCTACTAACGCTCTTCTTTTTTATGTATGTTTTCATCGTTGGTACCATCTTTTTCGATGTTGGAGCCTTCTTGTTGGTGTCGTCGTTTTTGTATTGGAGCTTTCTGTCATTGTTGCTGCCTTTTTAGTGTTAGAGCCTTCGTCATTGATGTCGTCATTGGTGTCGTTATTGGTGTTGTCATTGGTGTTATCATTGATGTCGTCGTTGATGTTGTCATTGGTGCTATCGTCACTTTTGGTGTTAAAACTTTGGCGTTGGTGGTGGTCTTTGTCGAATTTGGTGTTGCCGGATATTTGTGTTGGATTTTTTATTATGGGTGAGATAATTATTATAGGTTTTCTTTTTTGGTTATTATGCAACAATGTTCGTTGCATAATAATTATGTAATTTTTTTTTTATTAATAAAAGATACTTAAATTATTACACGATCCATGTAATCGATTTTGATTGGTTGATCACAGGGTCGGCATGGCGACAGGTTGCTCTAAAACAATGCCCTTAAATTTAATATTTTATTATTCTATTGTCCTATAATATAAAACAGATATTTTACTGATACTATTAATTAGCAATTATCTTATACTTAATTTTTTATTTATTTTTATATATATTATTCATTTAGGCGACACAAATAAAATTAACTAGTTTTTATAACTGGCTGGGTCTGAAAATAGAAAATTTCAAAATTTTATTTTATGCCGCAGCAAGTAGATAGCTAGTCATTTTATAACATATAAAATTAAACTTTAAAAGATAGTTTAAGTAGTATATATATAATTTTACATATGCATGTATATATGTACGTACGTATATACAAGTACTGGTAACTGCATGGTGCTCTTCTAAATAAACTGAGATTGGGAATTACTAAATCTAATAGTAACAAAAAAATAGGCAGATTAAGCTACTTTCACATTGATAAAAGGTAAAAAATAATAAAAATTAAAAAAATGAATAAATCTGACTCAAAATGTATTGTACAGGTCCATATATAAAAATTTAATCAAATGCGCATTTAAAATATTACATTTCGGGAGATAAAATTAAACGTGCATTTAGAAATATTGTATTTTGAGAAGTAAAAGTCTATAAGTATTAGGCTGCACTAAGTTAATTTTTCATTTTGTATTATCTGCTAACCCAAAATTTTCAAAATCTCAATTTTTTTATTTTAAAACAAAACTAACCAATTGATTTAATGAAT